AGGCAGGTGGTGATAACTTAATGCAGGAAATCAACCAGAATTTGGCAGAGGAGGTGAGCATGGTTGAATTCTAAAAATTCATTGTAATTTTTTGACACTTCGTTCCCTTACAGTGACACAATCACCTGTATTCCCTTTTCAGGCCGGCCTGAACATCACTCACATTTGCCTTCCTCCAGGCAGCGGCGAGGATGAGGTAATCACACCAGAGCCCTGGAATCCTTATTTTGCTTCCTCCTTAGACCTAACGTAGCTGCTAGCACCTCTTAGCTGTCAGTGGAACAGATCAGCCTTTCTTGTGGCTAAACTTTTATAGGGAAGAGTTTACTTTTTCCTCTAGCAAAAATGCTCCTTGATCTCTTTGTCTCTTGTATGTTTCCTTTGAAGATGAGCTAGGACTTAGTGACTTTGGTTGTGTTTGTTCAGCTATGGTAACAGCGTCTTCTAGTGGATATTGTCCAGCTTTCAGTGTCTGCAGGACTAGTTCTGGCTTGTCTCTGTCCTGACAGGTTGTTGGTCCTTTGGCTTCTCTGGGTCATAGTTGCCTTATCAACAAAATAAAGGAATAGGAGGAGATAATCTTCAGGGGCCTTCTCAGGCTAACGGTCTATGAATCCTCCCGTGGTGCTTTGGGGCCGCCGATAGAAAACATGCAGAGGATCCTCTTGCTGCTCTTGCGTGTGACTTGGTTGTTTCTGCCGCAGGGCGTGACAGCCATCTCAGCCTCATCTCCAGCTCGGAGACGCGGCCATCCCCAGAGGTAGCAGCGAGGAAACTGGACCACGGGCCAAGCCAGTATCTGGTCCCGTGGCCAGCTTTTCTTCAGACTGGGCTGTGAAGATTCGGTTTGATTTCCAATGATAAGCAACCTCACACAGCAGCATCTGAAGTAACACAGAAGTTAACTTTTCTCATACATGAACGAAGGTGAGAAGCAGGCAGTCCCTGGCGGGTGCCACTGCATCAAAAATCTCAGGCTCCTTTGGTGTTGCTGCTCTGCTGTGTTTGTTGGCTGCCTCCTACGCAGGATGGCAATTTGTCTCTGTGTACCACAGCCACATCGTAGCCAGCATCAAATAAAAAATAAGTCCAGCCTTCAGGAAGGAGAGGCATAATTGAAAATGATGACTGCAAGGTGGCAAAAGGGACGATTGCAGTAGGAAGAGTGCTCTAAGACTTGTAAGCTTCTGAGTTAGGCTGAAGGGATTTGCATTTATAGGGAAGGGTGGAGAAGGCTAGAAAGAGCCATTGTGAGCAAGTGGGGTGAAAGGGTGGCTTGATGGGGTAGTAGGTCCCGAAAGCTTCACACTGCAGCCAGCCTGTTCTCTGGCTCACCAGGCTGAGGGTGGGCCAGAGTTTGTTAGCGACCTAGGAAGGAGGTTGCTAGTCAGTCAAACCCAGTTTGACTGAGGAGCATTTTATTCTGATTGATCAGTGGGGGCAAGTAGCGAAGCTCATCATTTGTGAGACAAAGAATGGGAATACGCTGGGTCTGTGTCTGTGTCTGGTAGCCCAGCGAGTTACCAGTGAACCTTACCTAAGCCATAGGGGAAAGGTGGGTCTTTGCAGTGCACAGAGGATGGGGGAATTTCTTAAGCTTCTCTGCTTTCCCGGATCATGGGGTTCAGTTCAACAAGTTCTTGCCACCAGCAAGAAGAAAGGAAGGACCAAGACCAAAGGCAGATATCCTCTGTTTGGGAGCGGTTCCTCAAAGTCATAGTTCTGCTTTCATTCCGTGGGCCTGAACCTGATTGCTTGGCCATGATGCAAGGGAGGCTGGGAAATGTAGACTTTGTACCAGCTGGCCTTAGGTCATTTATTATCACAGCTAAAAACTACAGAGTTTATTACTAAGGAAAAAGGGAAAGTGGATATTGGGCAAAGAGTTTCTGCCACATTCTTATTGTATTAAATATTGTAATATATTAAAATATTGATACCTGTCATACCAGTATAACAAAAAGCAGAGAAATTGTTGTCTATTTGCAGGACACCCATTGTCTGCAGTAGAATTTGCATTTCTTTCCGTTATTTTGCCACTGATATTGATAGCCCTCGACTTTTTTTCCCCCCTTGACTTAGACAAGGAGTCATTTATTCTGTTTTTCTTTGACATTCTGATGCATCTGAACTCATATGGTGGTAGTAGTAGTATTATGTGGGAGAAGAGTAAGGATTTTAATTTGTTAAGATTTTGTTGTTACTGCTTCTACTAAATCTTAGAGGTGATGACAGTACCTCACTTCATTCTGGGCTATATTTAGATGTCACCACCTCTGACCACCTCCCACCTGCCATCACTCCATTCGACCTTTAACCCTGCTTAACCTACTTTATTTTTCTTTACATCATTACCACTTCCAGAAATTACACTATTACTATTTTTGGTTTGTCATTACCATTAGAATATAAGCTCCATGAGACTAGGCATTTTATTTATATTGTATTTCTTTTACTTAGAACTTGTAAGTAGGTGTTCAAACATTCAAAATTTGTTAAATGAATGAAAGAATAATGAATAAAGGAAACAAATTTTTTTTTTCTGAGTTTTATATGTCAAACAGCTTTTTCTTCCCTTACCAGGTAGAAATACCATAGTGAAGTTTACTAGACAGTGAAACAAAAATGGTAAACCAGCACTTCCATGTAGTGCAAGCTATAGCCATGGGCTAGTAGAGTATCTCTCTTACTTATGAATAAATCATATTGTTCCGTGAAATGGATCATTTCATTCAATGATGTGTCCCCTGGTGTGAAATAAACAGAGGATAGAGCATCACTTAAATTTTAGAGATATACCTTCCCACTTATTAATATTACATTAGCTTCCCAAACTATCCTTTGGTCTTTTTCATAAATAGTGGAATTATTTTAGTGTTTCCTATAAAAAGGAGATACTTATGCTTAGAGTTCATCCATCATAAACTTCTGGAAATGCTTTCTATACCCCTAAGCTGCAGAGAATACAAGGGCCTGAGTAATGACTGCTTGGGTGTCATAATTAGAAAGCTTTAGTTGAATACATTGTGTGGGAAACCCAGGCTTGTCTGGGCCAGCGTGGAACGCCTGACATTTATGCTTCCTGGCTTCCCTGAAAGTTGGCAGTGAATTTGGCTCAAGTGGGACTGTTGACAGGGAATTGTCTCTTGCCTGTCCAGACCGTACAGGCTGTTGAGCTTTTGTGTTGTTTTGCTTTGTTCTGTTCTGGCATAGGGTAGAGTGGTAGGGAAGACTGAGGAGGCTACAGAAATTAAGCCTTGCTTTTTTTGAACTCTTATAAACACAGTGAAAAGAGAAAATAGACTTCTTCATTCTGCTTTACACCAAGTCCTCAACAAGGAATGAAAGAGAAACCATAACATGCATTTTTATGAAAAAGGTTTATGTGTGTGTATATATATATATATAGAGAGAGAGAGAGAGCTTCTTTTATTGGGCCTTATTTTCACAAAACTGATTTTAGTTATTTTTCTCTTTAGATTATAGATGAAATTTTGAAGATTAATGAAGACTCCAGAGTACACGGCCTTGCCCTTCAGATCTCTGAGAGCTCATTTAGCAACAAAGTCCTCAATGCCTTGAAACCAGAAAAAGATGTGGATGGGTGAGAAGATATAAAAGAAAACAATTAATCCTTATTGCTAAATGAATTTTCCTACTGTAATTTTTTTTTTTAATTTCACCATTTTAACTATATCAGTAATTGAGAGATGAAAGAAATCATTAAAAATATTTCAGGAGTTTGAGTACTTAAGTTACACCTAACAAAGTTATATTTTGGAAAATACATTTACCCTTTTGTAGCACTTGGGTGCCATTTTGGAAATAATCTCCTTACCCAATCATGTTCATCTGGTAAGTTCCTGCCTGACTTAAAGCATCCTTGCCCAGCACTCCCTCTTCGAACAGCTTTTCCTTGGTAATTCTGCCACCAGACCTGAGAAAAAAACCCAGAGACCTGATTCACCAGCAGTCCCATATTATGCCTTAGTCCCAGGCCAGTTGAGAAAAACAAAACAAGCACTTTTGTTCATAACATAAGGTTCTATTTGAGATTTGAGGGAAAAACTATAAATATCAGGTGCCTTGACCCTGGCTTTTGACTCACGTCCTAGCATGGTGTTATCTTCATGGGGCAGAAATACTGCCCATTCATAGGTCTGTTAAAAAACAGTTCAGTCAAGTAAATTTGAAGACCTAATTGGTTTTATTAACTGACTGATGAATCGGGCAGCATCCATTTAGCAAGTAGAGATATGCTCCACAGAGTTGTACAAAATGAAAGGTTTTTATAGACAGGAGGGTGGGGCAAAAAGTTATTGGCAAAAGAAGGAATTAGGGATTGTTTCAAATAAGGTCACCTTTCCTTAGGAGCAGGGGGTCTTATGCAGATGACCTCACTGGTAATCAGACAATTCTGGACTGGTTGGCTTAAAATCCTGGAAGGGGCTGACATGGCAGGTAGCTTAGGCAGAATAAGGGACAGCTATAGGACCATAGCGTTGCACACTTCAAGGGGCGCCATTCCACACAGGCCATTGCTTGGAGCTCTCGGGAGCTGTACAGTCAAGCCCTGCATGACCTTACGCTGTGGTCCTGCTATTCAAGCAGAACCAGAATACTTAATGTCATCCCAGCTCATAGGGACCACAGTGCCATTTCCTGCGGGACTGCTCTAAGAAGCTAATGGCCTTTATTCCTTTCCACTCTTTAATTTATGTTTAGTTGTTTAGTACATTCTATCAAACATTGACTTGGATGTTATTTGGGATTAATACATGTGAATTACAGACCAGTGAGTTTGCCTTACTATGTCCCTTGTTTTCGGATTCAGGGTGACAGATATAAACCTGGGAAAGTTGGTCCGTGGGGATGCTCATGAGTGCTTCATTTCACCTGTGGCCAGAGCTGTAACTGAACTTCTTGAAAAGTCAGGTATGGTGCTCCTTCAGAAATGCTGCTGTTTTCTGTTTATTGGCATCACACACAATTTGTTAACAAGGATATGTTTCTGAAACATTTGCATTGAAACATGGGACGTTCAGTGTCAGCTTTCTTTATTTTTCTCATCTTTGGAGAGACAAAGAATTATGGCATATTTTTTTAAAAGAGAAACTGGTAAAGATGAGTACTAAACAAGCTCTCAGCTTCTGTCAGGTAATGGTTAAAATAACCACAATGGGAGAAGTTTCAAGTTTCAACTTCTCAAAGCTGTCAGTATGTAGACTTCAGTAAGACTTACACTTAAGACTTACTTGAGGGAGCTGCAGTTTAGGGGATAGAAACCTAGGGATTAACCAGTGAGCCGTATGCAACTTCCATCATCCTCTTGACCTTGCACTCTGTGTCAGTTACACAGAAATAAATAATTCATCAATTTTCAAGACGTATTTGTAAGACAGCCATTAAGCTCAAATCTATGAGCCAATGCAAATGCTGTTTTTCTGTCGTACGGATTTATCAGAGTGATGATTCTCAAGTCACTCTGCTATGAAATCCACAAAGAAAAAGTAAGTTATGGCTTGTAGTCATTGTAGGATGATGCTCAGAGGGCCAAATTTTAAAAGGTTATTTATCCTTGGGTTAAAGCTACATGGGAGGAAAGCTCTGAATTTCTGGTTATAATACTACATTTCCATTTGGTGGGTAGGTGTCAACTTAGATGGAAAGAAGATCTTGGTAATAGGAGCTCATGGGTCTTTCGAAGCTGCCATACAATGCCTGTTCCAGAGAAAAGGGTCCATGACAATGAACTCCCAGTGGAAAGCACCTCAGCTTCAGAGCAAGGTAAGTATCTCTCAGGTGGGAAACATATGTTTAATGCTCATGTTAGAAAAGGAAAAGGACTAGAAATGTATAGATCAGCCATTTAATGTAGGAAATAAGAACAGCATAAAACCTCAAAAGATGAAAACAATAAAGAGCAGAGATTAAAGAAATAGTAAATGTATTGAAAGATCATCAACAAAGGCAAAGTTGGTTCTTGGGAAAGGCTAGTAAAATAGACATACCACTAGCCAAAATAATCAAGACACAAAGAGAAAACACCAGCAATGTTAGGAATGGACAAGGAGACATAAACACAGAAACAAACATTAGTTTTTAGTTTTTTTAAAAGGAGCATATGAACAGCTTTATACCGGTAAATTTGAAAATTGGTATAGAAGGAAAACTTCCCTAGAAGCTGTAGCTTACAAAATAGATTTCGGTAAAATTGAATAGACTTCTATATTTTAAAGATATTGAATCAGTCTCCCCACCAAACAAAGCAAATAAAAAAAGCAGGAGGTAGTTTTATAAATGAGTTCTACCACAGCCCAAAACAGGTAGCAGTCTTTTTTTCTATTCTGGAGAACAACAAAAGAAGACTTCCCAGCTCATTTTATGAGTGCCCAAACCAGACAGACCACCTGCTAAAGGGCCGTCGCAGGCCAATTTTACCTACAAACATAGGGGAAATAAATAATCATTTGCAAAATATTAGAAAATCAAATCCAGCACCAGTTTGGGATGATGATAAGATTGCAAGGGTGGTTTAACATCAGAAAATCAATTAAAGTCTATTAATGTAATTCACCACATTATCACATTAAAAATTATACTGTCACCACAGTAGATGCAGAAAAGTCATTTGATTAAATCTAGTATCCATTATGATTTTTTCCTGAATAATAATCTCTTAGACTAGAAATTTAAAGGAATTCCTTAACCTGAAAGCACATCAATAAAAGTTAGAGCAAGTATCTCATTTAATAGTGAAATATTAGAAACATTTCTTTTAAAATTAGGAAAGATACGAGTATCAGTTATCAGTACTCCTAATCAGCATTGTGGGGGAATTCTTAGACAATGTGGTAATGGGAAGAAAGAAAGGAAGAAAACCTGTAAGATTGGAAAGGAAGACACCAAACTGTCATCAGGCCTAAGTGGTATGACTGTCTACAGCAAAAGCCTGAAAGAATATATTAAAATACATGAGTTCATGAGTTCAGCTAGGTTCTTGGATATAAGATTAACCTGCAAAAACCAGTTGCATTTCTAAACACAACGCCTACAGGTAGAAATTAATTTTGGGGGAAAAAAAATACAATGAGAATATAGGTATCTAGGAATATATTTAACAAAAGTCATTGCTGATCTTTTGTAAGAAATGATATAATCTTGATGAAAGTCATTAAGGAGACCCAAATAAAAGCAGAGATACCATAGTTTGTGGATGAGAAGTCTCAGTATCTTAAAGAGACAGTAATTCTCCCCAAATTAATCTATAATATGAATCAAAATACTGACACTATTGTTTTGTAGAATTTGACAAGCTGATTCTAAAATTTATATGAATGCAGAAGGACAAAAACAAAAGTTTTGAAGAAAACTACACATCAACATGGAAGAATTTTTAAAAACAGCATTCATTGAAAAAAGCAAGTTGCAGAAGGATACAGTTCATCTAACACCACGCATATAAGATCTACAAGCAGTACTATATCTACAGCAATACTCTATATATTTTTAGGGCTATAAGATATATATATATTTCAGGGTACATACGTATAAAGTAGAAGTATAAAGAAATGAATGGGAACTAGGAACCAGATCAGGATAACCATTTATAGGGCCAAAGATGTGGATGTAAATGGAAAGGAGACTCGCTTATACTGGTCAGGCCTTTCTTCTTAAACTGGGCAATGGGTGAGGCATCCAAGTGTGTTACTATTCTTTTACATGTTCACGTCTGAAATAGTTCAATGAAGATTTTAATTTAAAAAATTTACTATGAATTTCACAAATTTATAGTCAAGTTCAATTAACACCTCATTAAGTATAATAAATTACTGCAGAACAAAATCTAAAAATGCATGTTCCTTGTGTTGCAGCATGAGAATTGAGCAGCTTATAGCCCTACCTAGGGAAGACAGGTATCTCGACTGAGATTTGTGATGTTTGAGTGAAAGATGTATCTAATGTTGTAATTCTTTTTTGTTCTAAGACAGCTCAGTACGTAGCCTCGCAAATCAAACTCAAACCTATGTGCTTTTTTTAGTGGTCACCACACGGGGGCAGCCTATTCAAGAAAATTCAAGGACAATATTTTGTAATGTAGAGCCCAGAATTTTTGCTTTGGAAGCTTTGTGGAAGAGGAAAATAAACATTGCCCTGAACTTAACAGCTGTGGAGAAAAAGAGAAAAATGCCTTCACTGGCAATTAAATGTTTTCACAGCTGCCACAGATACTTTTACTAGTTGTATCTGTATTTTTATAAAACAAAGACATCTTTCAAAGTACTTTTTTTATGATGGAAAAAAGTCACCCTGACTCTTCTTTGGGGTAAATCTCATCCTACTTTGAGAACGATAAAGTGGCTTTATTCTCTAAAGAATCTAGAACTTGTGTAATATTCCTGTTTTGGTACATCCAAGAAGCTTCTCTTTAAAAGTTCGTAATACACACATATTTTCTTAGGTCCTTGGTATTTATAATGGTACCACCATGAATAACTATGTAATGCTAGAGTCCTGTCTACCCCTCCTAAACTACATACAGTTTGCCAGATTTGGGGTGACCTGCAGTTGCAGCTGCAACCAGTGGGGACTGCCTTTGAAGATTTGGAGTTACACACATTTGTGTCCTCAGTTAGCAGGAGAACATGGACTTTGGGGACAAACAGCTCTGGGTTCAAGCCTTCACTGCTGCCTAACTTCTCTAGGCCCATCTCCTCATTTGTAGAATGGGGATCATAATATTCCCTCCCTCACAGGGCTGCTGTGAGAATTCGGTAATGATCTAAGTTTGCTCACTTAGCACAGAACTTGGCACCGGTTAACGTCCATATGAATGACTTGGCTGCTGGTGATGGGAGGGAGGAAAGACTGGCAAGTTTCCCTGTGCAGATGTGTAATTGATCCACGATGTGGGAAGGCCAGTGGGTCAGTCAAATCATAAGGAGATAAACTCAAAGTAGTGGGACCTAGGGCCCCTCTTTGGAAACCTGGTGTGCATGCTTCAAGTGTAGGGCTTGGGGAGGAAGAGAGCTGCTCTGTCTGTGAGCTTCCCGACAGTTCATGGAGGCCGAGGGAACTGATCCAAAGCAAAACTCAGAGACACTGTTCCGGAGAGAGTGGGGGCCTGCTGTGGTCAGTCATGCCCACGCACCGGTCCTCCCGAGTAGGATTGTCACCTGGAAGTAGTGTAGCAGAGCCCTTTGCGGGGCACCTGCAGACCTCATCCTTCAGTGAAGGATCTCGTTTCTTCTGTTACCTTGATTCCCATGTTACTCAGAAGCCACCCGCTTCTGATGATGTCTGCTGGGGATTCCTGGCTTACCAGTTGCTTCTTCCAGGATTATTACTCCTTCCTACAGTTTTGAGGAATAGCCATGTCAGGCTAGTTAAATTGCAAGGGATTCTTTCTCTACCCACCTGCCTGGGGATACTCCTTGGATACCAATTATGTGTAGCATCTCAGGAGAGCCTGAGTGTGAAGAAATGAGATTTGCCTTTTTAGAGTTCTACAGAAAACAGAGTCAACTTCTTTGTTTGGTAGCTTTATAACTAATGCTCCTCTGAGTGTGTCATTGCTAATTAAAAATAAGGGTCCTGCTTTGTCTCTGAGCATCACTTCTGGGCTTTGAGATGCACTATGAGTTTACATGTAGGGGAGGGAGAGAATGTCTGGGCATTTGTCCAAATGAGCCACATGCCACGGAGCATCAGATGATAGCAAGCCAAAGCACCGGCTGTGAGGTTTGGGGCAGGGCTAGGGAATCCGCCTGCTGCCTCCCCCTGAACGCAGGCCCCATGTTCAGCTTCCTAGGCCCCTGGCATGGAATGACACCTCTTTGTGGGAACAGAGCCATATGCCCAGGAGAAGGGATTCAGAGAACCCCAATGAGTTCATCCTGATACCAAAAGCAATCCAAGGTGGGAGAATGTTCTGCATTTAGTATTTATGAGGCAGAGCTGGAGCCCCCCATTTCCAGAGAAGAAAGGTTGATGGGCACCCCAGGACTCTGCAAACCCCCTCATGCGCTCCACTAGCTGGAGCACATGTTCTGAATCTGCATGGAGACACAGCTGGAGGACAATGGTGCAGTGGCCTCTAGCTGTGACAAATCGGGTCCCCCCCAGCTGCATGGATTAGAAATAGCCTAGAAATGAGAGAACCACTTTTTTTTTTTCCCTCAAAGGATCTTCTTTCTCCTTCCTGCGAACACAGAGACGTTCAAAACTAGTTTCACAAAAGGAATAAATATAGGTCCTTCACATTTGAAGGATGAAAGTGTGTAGTTTTTTTGAGCAGAACTAAATTATCACAAAACATTTCCAGTTTAAGTTCAGTGCATAGCATGGCTTCTAAAAGGCTCTTACAAGTGAATTGGAAAATTCTAAATATGTTTGTATTATACATATGAAATCTTGAAAAAGGAATTATCTCTTTGCCAAAATTTGGGGGTGGGGGTGGGTGGAAACCCTAGCTTTAAAACTGGATGAGATTAATGAGTTACATGATAATTATTTTATTTTTTTACATTTATAATTTTGACTATATTTGTCTTTGAAATCCTGTAGAAAATAGAAAGTATAGTTACAAATGCAAAATACAGTACTGCTGTCTTCTAGAGATCTTTTTTCTGTATACAGCTTGGAGTTAACTGTCTGGTTACTGTCTAGGGTCCTTTCATTTCTACCTGAAAGGCTCCATTTGGCATTATTACAGGGAAGGTCAGTGGTCATGGACTCTCTCACCTTTTGTTCATATTCTCCCTCATTTTTGAAGAATGGTGTTTTGT